CGAGAGCCTGCCTGCCTGGCCGGGGCCAGCCCGGCACCTGCTCGGCAGCCAGGAGAAATCGGCCCCCACCAGATCCCTGCTGAATTCGGGGTGATGAGCAGGGCTGAGCAAGTCTCTCTGCAGCTGCTGCCCGCAGTTCGGATGTGCCAGCTGCAGTGAAACCGCCACCTCGCCGGGAGGGGACCGAGGCAAGACCCGACCCCTCGCAGACCCTCCTGCGCGGCTCGCAGTCAGCAGAGCTCCTCGAGGCCGGGGCTGTTGTAAACTAACCACGAAAGCAAACGCAGGGCGGAGTGAGGGTGGTGTCAGGTGCCGCCTCCTCGTGTGGGTCTAGGGGCTGGCCCCCCTCACTGGCAGCAGGAGGTGGCCGAGGTCCGTGGGCAGCTCGTGTCCAGGTGTCCAGGAGGCGGCTATCCCTGCAGGTTAGGGCTCGGATCAGGTGCCTCAGATCATCAGCCTGCAGAGGTGATGAAAGAGGGGGGGAGGACACCCCAAACACGGGAAGCAGGATGAAAAGAAAGCCAGAGCAATGCTGCGTCCTTGATGGATAATTCTCCCCGCAGGGCAACCCTGGGCTGTGCTCGATGGAGAAAGCCCCTGCACCCATCACCAGCGTGGGCAGAAGCGAAAGTCCCCTGGACGGCATTTGCCTCCGGCGCAACACCTGGCCTCGGGGCCCCTGGCCAACACCTCCCGGCCGTGGCGTGGGAGCTGGGGCTGCCTTGCAGGAGGTCTGGGCGCTGCTGCGGAGCACGTGGAGGGGGGATGCACCGGCTCCCTTCGCCGGGTCCAGCTCCCACGTGCCGCAGGCGTTCAGACACGGGTGAACCCAAGCGCCTTTGGGGGGCTGAGGGTTGAGGTACAGACTCGGAGCACATGCCGAGGGTCTTGTGTCTGCCACGACCTAGATAATCACCAAGGAGATAGAAGCAAACGAGTGGAAGAAGAAATACGAAGAGAGCCGGCAGGAGGTCCTGGAGATGAGGTAAAGACCTTCCTGTCCGGCGGGCAGACACCCACCTGCGGAGTGGGGCTGGACTGTGTGTTCCCGCGGGTTGAGCACCTCTCCCTCCTGCTGCGGGGCCCCTGGGCAGTTTGCTGGCAGCCGAGCTGTCCTCCAGGTGTCTGCCTGCAAAGCGCCACCTCTCACCTGCTGTTTTCTCCTTCCGTTCCAGGAAAATTGTGGCTGAGTATGAGAAGACCATTGCCCAGATGATAGGTAAGGCCTCTGCCCTGCACCAGGGTGGACCTAGCACAAGGGTGTGCCTTGACCGGCGGTCGGGTCCCCACGTTGTCACTGTGTCCTATGTGCTATCCCTTCTCTGTTGCAGAGGATGAACAGAGGACGAACATGACATCGCAGAAGAACCTCCAGCAGCTCACGATGGAGAAGGACCAGGCCCTGGCAGACCTAAACTCTGTGGAGAGGTCCCTGTCGGACCTCTTTAGGAGATATGAAAACCTGAAGGGTGTCCTGGAAGGCTTTAAGAAGGTCCTTGCCTCTTGAGTTCCTCTTCCCTTTCCCAGTCCTGGTCCCAAGTGCAGGGTTCCCGGCAGCATGGCCTCACCTCGTCCCATGCAGTAACGCTGCGGCTCCCTTCAGTCCAATTGGTGCTTTGCTCATGCTCAGAGGACTGTTTATCTGCTTGCTTTCCTCTGTCGGTTTTTTGATACATGAGAAGAGGAGGCTTGTGAATGTCACAGGAAGTCAGTGGTGAGAGCTGGGCTCTCCGGAGAGCCCGTTCGTCTCCATATTCTTGCCACAGCATTCTCCTTTTAACCTGCGAGAAGCCACATCCAAGGCAAGAGCGGATGCCAGGGCAATGCACCCTTAAAAGCACTGGCTCCGTTTGCACAAGGGGTTTCCATGCTGCCAGGCTGGATAAATGCTCCAGCATAAGTGAGAAACTGGGCCTATTTAAAGTTTTTCTCTGTTACATGCAGATGTAGCAGAGTAGCATCTCTGTGCTCAGTCCCCGTTCAGACGGATGTACCTTATTTTCCAGAATGAAGAAGCTTTGAAAAAGTGTGCTCAAGATTATTTAGCCCGGGTCAAGCAAGAAGAGCAGCGATATCAGGCCCTGAAAGTCCATGCAGAAGAAAAGTTAGACAAGTAAGCATCCCATTTCCATTGGGTATTTGAAAGGCAGGTTGGCCTTTTCTGGGTGCTGGTGGGAGGGAAGAGAAAAGGTGGCTTTTCATGCTTTCCTTTGGGGTCTATTTATAAAAGCATGGCAATGGCAAACCCTCAGAAAGACTCGTGTGCACAGCCCTGCCCATCCGGCACTGGCGTCTGAGAAGTTGTGCGGCACTGGTCTCCATTTGCATTTCTGAGGTTAGAAGGCAAGAGCTTATTGACGTGAAAAGCTGCTGTTTATAACCTCAGATGTGAGTTTAAATGGATATAATTAAGCTAGCACAAATCCCTGAATGGACTCTCTGCTCTTCTGCTTACCTTTTTTAATGGAGGCCCTGAGGTGCAGAGTCTGTTTGCAGTAGCTTAAAAAGTTCCCACATTTCAGTTGATCTCATGTTTCTTGTGTGCAAAGAGGGTAATGCAATTACCCTGGCTGAGCTGATGTGCAGCAGCTCATGGTGACCTGCTCGTACGTCTGAGCCAAGTGAATGAGGAGCTGGTTTAGGTTAGCCCTGAGAAAGCAGTTTCCATACCGGAGTTTGGAGTTGCCTAATCCAGCGTCATATGGAGTGCAACTTTTCTGTACAGGGAAATGTTCCCTGGCTGCCTCCAAAGGCATAACCACTGTCTCTTTCTCTCCCAACCCCACGAAGAGCCAACGAGGAGATCGCCCAGGTGCGCACAAAGGCAAAAGCTGAGAGCGCGGCACTGCACGCCGGGCTCCGCAAAGAGCAGATGAAGGTGGAGTCCCTGGAAAGAGCCCTTCATCAGAAGGTAAAGCTCCCACTGCTTTCTCTCTGGATTGCTGTGGTACCATTTGGCTGTCCTGAGCATCCCCTTGGTGCTGGAGGTGGTCTTCGGGTCTTTGTCCCAGAAGGTGCTTTTCTGTGTATGACTCTGTCCTCTTGCAAGGAGATGCAAGCTCTGCCCAGGCTCAGGCAAGGCTGCGTGCAGCCATGTGGCCTCCAGCGCTGGGCTGGCACGCGTTGAGCTGTCTTGGAGCACGGGCAGAGCTTGTCTACATGTGCCTGCTAATGGACGTGTGGGCTGAGCAACAGCAGAAGTGGGCAGCCAGAGGTGCGGGGGCCCTGTGCGACAAACGCAGCTGGATGTGTTAGGGGATGAGGAGACGTGATCCTGTGTTCCCCACAGCACCTGGTGCTGTATGGAGGAGCTGTGGCAGCGGCAGGCACAGGAGCCCAGCTGCACCTTCTGCTGGTGGAGCTTCGTGTGCTGACTCAGTGGCAGATGGACCTGGGCTTAATCCCCATCTGGTGCCGCGGCAGGGGTCCTCAAGGTCTGCTTTTCTTTCAGAACCAGGAGATTGAGGAGCTGACCAAGATCTGCGATGAGCTGATAGCGAAGCTGGGAAGGACAGACTGAGTCTCACCACCCCTCGTCCAGCACTGTGCACTTGGCCGCTTTTCTTGTACCTTCAAGCACCTTGCCTTATTACCCAGGAATAACCCCCTTAGCAGAGAAGCACACGCGTGCAGCTGCCTGCCGCTTGGCTGCCGGACTCCGCAGCCTCACCTGCAACACCGGCCCCCACGATGTCCCAGGCTCTGGTTATTTCCCAGGCTCGAGGGCCCCCACAGACGCTGGGGCTCGGCTCCG